CCTTCCTTCCTTCCTTCCTTGCAGCTCAGAAAACCAGTGGTGGAGAAAATGCGCCGTGACCGAATTAATAACAGCATCGAACAGCTAAAAGTTTTGCTGGAGAGGGAATTCCAACAGCATCAACCCAATTCCAAACTGGAAAAAGCAGATATTTTAGAAACGGCCGTCAGTTATTTGAAAAAGCAGCGTCAGATCCCAGGATCAGGTAAATGCAAAACTGAGATTTGTATTTAACTGCCCAGAGTTGCTAGTTGGAGGCCAAGCATATGAATGAGAGGGGGGAGAAAAAGAGAAACAGATTTGTGATTTTACGCATCTTAAAGTAATATGCGGCTGAGGGGAATATAAACCCCCAGTTTATTCCTGTTCTTTTGCAGCGAGGGTTAGAGAACACTACAGGATTGTAAGAATTTCTGGCAAGGAAATGGGGGTGTTTTGCCTTGCTGCAGATCAAGCTCTTGGCGATGCTGGGCTTTTTTATTTTTATTTTGAGGTCCTTGTTTTAAAGTTGCAGTGAAAAAAGCAGCGTGTTTGCAAAAATAAGAGAGACGCGTTTTTAGGGGCGCAGGACTGGCTGAACGGCATCATTTGCCTGGCATGAAACACGATAAGTTAAGATGGGAACTGTTGGATTTCAACTGGGGTGCAACCATCTTATTTAATGGCTTGCAGCCTTTGCAGAAAAAGGCACATTTAGCCTGCTCCCTGAACTAACCACATCCAAACCATGACCCGGATCGAAATGAAGGCTTAATCCTAACCAAAATTCAGACGTTTTATGGACACAGATGCCAGGTTTCCACTTGGCTTATTAAAAAGCAAGCTTCCTCTCCCTGCCTACCTTCCAAGGTTGTTGTAAGGATACCCTGGTTCTTTTTTTTTTAGCAAACCGACTAATATACTCCAATGAGAATATTTGCATACCCCTTGCATCCCAGAATGGCATTGACAGCGGTCTTCTGTTGTTGTTTTAATAGCCTTCAGCCTGAAAAATCCAGAACTTGATTTCAACACGGGCTACCTGCGTTGCTTAAGAGAAGCGTTTTACTTCCTCTCCTTCTGCCAGCCCAAGAGGGAGACCCAAACGCGGCTGATTAAACATTTCTGCAAAGTGCACATGATTTCCGACACCACCTTCTCGCTCCTCTCGACGTCTCCTGCACCTAAGAAGCAGCCGGCGGAGAAAAGACCCTCACCGTCTGCCTCGGCGTTCATCTGGAGACCTTGGTAGATTTCCTGCATCTTCCCAACCGATGGCCAACTTGAAGACAAGCCTAGAGGGATTTTTAATTTCAAAATCCCTCTCGTCCAAGTAGGAAACGTTTGATTTCCACCGAGGGAAGAAGCCGGTTGTTTTTTTCCACTGGGGGAAAACAGGCCCCTTCTCTTCCCAGCGTTCTCCTTCATAATGAAGGGATGTGCTCTGCAGGAACAGAGAGGAAAAATGGCCTTTTTATTTTTATTTTTTCTTTGCAGAGCCCCAAGCGAAACCAAACCCAGTGGGTTTGGGAGCAAGGGGGCTTCTTGGAAGATCAGAGGCTGCTTTGCAAAGAGGAGCTGCTGAAAGGCCGTGGGAGTCTCTGGGAATGCGTTGTCCTTCAGAAAGAAGGGTGGTTTTGTGTTTTAAAGGTGTAGTTTGTATCAAAAAGTTTGCCTCCTTCCTTCTCTGCCTTTTCCTTCCTTCCTTCCTTCCTTCCTTCCTTCCTTCCTTCCTTCCTTCCTTCCTTCCTTCCCCATTTGCTGGGATCATGCATTATGTCTTTTCCAAGGGCAGCACCAAGCCCCCCTGAGAAAAACCTCTGGGAAAACGTCCAAGGGTTTCCCCCCCTCCTTCCAGGGTCTTTGGCGTGATCGTAGCAAGGAAAGGTCTAGAAAACTTCCCTTACCCCTTTTGATTTTGCAGGGACCGTTTTAGGAAAAGTCAGGAGCCCCTTTGCAGAGAATCCTGTATCTCTTGGGAGGTGAACTTTGCAATGTTTCTTTCGTTTTTGTCAGAAATCTGGGCGCCTTTTGTGAAGGCTCTGCTAGTATATGTATCTTTAATAAGGAAAAAGAAACGTGGGTCCGGCATGTGCTGGCCAGAAGCGAACGGCAAGAGAGCTTTGTATCATCGGACGATGCTTTCAGAAGCCTGCTATGATTTGAACACCTCTGATGCCAATTAAATGCATATATATGTGTGTACATGTCTGCGAGTGAATCCTTCCTTTCAGATTCCAGAACAGCTCATCAAACCGCTATCTTAAAAACAAAACCAAAAAAACGAGCGTGGAAGATGCGCTGTCTTTGGAATGGGATCATGAGAGTGTTTGCGGTTTGGGGGTAGACTGCTCCTGTATGTGGAAGTTCTGTTGCTGGCTATTGCCTGCCAGAAGGCTGGAGCAAATTCAGTTTCAGTTTCTTGCAATGTCCAGGCAGATATCTCTAAGCTGTTGACTTACAAGAGAGAGTCCATTCACATCAGATTTTGCAGACTGACTTCTCCCAGACCCTTAACTTTAAAATCTTTTCTTTTTTTTGGTGGGGGGGCAATTCGACCTGTCAAATGGACTTCGAGCTATCGAAATCCAGTTTTGTTCAGGGCAGCTGCTTGTTGAACACTATTCCAAGGAGACACACATTTCTCAGGCTATGATCTCTGTTTAAGGCTGGTTTTACTTTAAATTATTTCTTATTCCTTCTGGGGAGGTGTCAAAAGAGTCTTCTTCCTTGTCACCTGCCCCCAAAGTTTGGGTTATAGGGCAGATAAGGGGTCCAGCTAATGAAGGAATAAAGAGTCGCTGATTCAATCAAACGCCATGAATCAGTTCGACCCGTTGGATCTTGGGGTAATAAATTCCTGAGTTAAACCATAAAACCGTAGACCCGTAAAATGAAAAGGTTGGGAGGATCCCTTGGAGGTCATCTAGACCAACCCACTGGGCATTCCTCTGGCTGCAGTCTGGGAATAATAACTAACTTTCCTGGCTGGGTGATTGTGGCATGACTATGATTCCTTTCCAAACCAGGATCTGCACAGAGGTCAATAAACCTGGTTACTGAATTAACCCATTTTTTCTGAGTTGACCAACATGGTGATCCGTCAACTTATCAAACAGCCTGCTGTTCACCTCCAGCTAAAATACACATTAACACACAACAATTAATCCTTTCCAAGTTTAATATGTAAGGGAACACACTGCTTGATTGTTAAGCGTGCAAAGGACATGCAGTTTTGCACTGGGGTACATTAGTGCTTAAAATGCCTCCTCCCCCCTCAATTAAGTGTTATCTCAACATGATTTTTTTGCACAATTGTCTGCTTCGGAGAACTGCTCTCTTTTATATAATTTTTGGACTTCAATGACGTGGTCTATCCCACTGCCCCATCATAAAATCCTAAAAGAGGAGGGGTTTTCAGAAGTCATCTAGCCCAGCCCCCTGCCCAGAGCCAGAATCCAAATTCAAGGAAGGAATCACTGAATGGAGGGATCGGAAGGGATCTTTGAGGTCATCTAGACCAACCCGCTGCATTCTCCACTAGGGCAACCCTGACAGATGACCACCCGCCTCTGCTGAAACTCTTCCAGTTTAACAGCAGCCTTTCAGGGCCTTGGACCCCCCCTACAGTGTCTTCCCAGCCCCCCAAATTTGCAAGTCCTTTAGGACTGGGGGGGGGGTTGCCAGGGGAGGGCATATCCCACATCCCACAGCTGTCCATTTATTAAATTTATTTAATATTATTTATTATTTATTTAATATTATTTATCTTCCGGTGAAAAAGAAAAGGGCCGTCGAAAGAGAAACATAGCGTACCCTAAAGATGGAACCGTGAAATCAAAACGAAACCACAACAGAAGAAATCAGGAGCCCCACGTGCGAAATTCCACCTCTTGGAACTCAACAGATGGCTTTGGATTGGTTTCTCAGCCTCTCCTACCTCACAGGGTGGTTGTGAATCTAAAATGAAGGGAGATCTCCCCTGATGGGGGCAGCCTTGTGCTGGAGGAAAGAGGGAGCATCAATGTAATGTTAAAAAAAATGTACAGAAAATTTTATTTATTATTTATTATTTATTTATTATTAAATTTATATGCCACAAACCCCCCCCCCAAAGGGTGACTCTCTGAAATATCTTTTCAGCTGAGCTTGAAACTTCACAAACACATCCACGCCCTTTTCTTGGCAGTAATACAGAAGTCGTGCATCATTACTTTACCTTTTTTAAAACTTCCCAACCTAGCCCACCTCCCCGTTGATTTCCTGGTGGTCTCCCATCCAAAGTCTAACCAAACTCAGCTCCCTCAGCTTGCCAAGATCAGCTAGGTGCTGGCCAATGAAGTGGCAGAACTGTAGCCGAAATGAATCAGACACCCTTAAAACCAATAAAGCAGTCTTAAAAATTGATATATAATGCAGTTATAGTCCTGCTGAAGTGGAGGAGCAAAAGGAAAGGAAAGGAAAGGAAAGGAAAGGAAAGGAAAGGAAAGGAAAGGAAAGGAAAGGAAAGGAAAGGAAAG